TATATATATATATATATATATATATATATATATATATATATATAGTATATACATACATACATACACACAAAGACAGTCTGTATTTGTATGGCAGATTTAAATTTGACCCAATTAAGTTATTTTCTGACTAAATAATCTGAACAGTCCTTTCTATTAAAAAGGTTTTTTAAAAATCCTGTATCTTTTGAAAATCTAATGCATTTAGTTCTTTCTTTTGATTGTTGTATACTAATCCTTCAGAGGATGATGTATTCTCACATATCTCATCACTACAATGGTGCTGACTCCGTGACCTCATTTGTGGTCATCTCCATCTCGCTGTCATTAAATGTCACAATGATAAGAATCGCTAATCTAAGCACTTAATATATGACAGACCTCTTGCCGTGCAGAAATATTTGCATGCTATATGTGACCACCTTTTCAACCCTCACATGCTTCTCAGGAAGTGCATGGATGGGTTAACCACAGGGTGTGATGGAAACAGTTTGACGCATTGCATTTTTACTGTTCCATAATCTTTCTTAAATCCATGCAAAGCAGGAGATTTGCTCCCCTTTTCGCCAGCCTGTATCGACACTGGCTTGGAAGATTATTCTCCAGTTGCAACTTTTGCTGATTAAAAGTGCCCTGTACCATGTGCAGTATTAGCAGGAGGGTTACAAGTCCGCTGTAATTGCTAGTGTGCTTCACAGACTGCTGCTGTGGATGCAGCGTCAAAGACAGATTTAGAGACTGAAGCGTTTTACATGGTGATGTGTTGCTAGTCAGATTATTCTGATGCTTTGGGGTGTTTGAGCAATTCTGGTCTATCTGGTGTGAGATGTGTGCACAGACCAGGTGACAGCCACAACACATTTGTGTGTCTGCATGCAGTTTTGTGACATTTGGTCCTCCAAAATAAACTGCCACATCTGATCTGACAGATGGATATTTTTTTTTTTGGGGTACTGATGTAGTGGTTTGTCTCATCAGATCGCATTGGTCTGTTGAAGGTACGCTGCAAAGACGCAAAATCTTACGAAGTATATATTTGTCTAATTACTAGTCAAAATATCTCATAACATTTATTTAATACACATCACCTAAAAAATAACAGTTCAGTGAGATATATCGACTTGTTTTTAGACAATGAGTTTGAATATTTTGTTAAATTAAAAACTACTACTTTTGAGCATCACAGGCTCATTATGACACTTCTTGATTGTAGTGAAATAAAGCTCAAAATGAGCTAATTTCAAGATCTCTTTTTCTCTTGAAAAGCCTAAATATTACATTTGGATTCAAGAAATGTTACCAAGCAAATTTTCACTTGTTCCATTGGATTTTCTTTTTTACTTATTACAAGCAAAAACCTTTTTTCAAAAAACATTTTTGATGTGGCCTTTTATTCCCAGTGTACTGTAGTTGTGATTAACTTCCTTTTCATCATTGGGGTCACAAGTTTCTCAACCTTCTCTAACTCGTGACCCCATTTCTTTGTCACATAAAAAACAACTCATGACCCAAAGTTGTCATGTGGCATACTTTCAAGATCAAGGGGGGAGCTTCAAATAGATTGTATAAAGCTTATAGCATGTTTAAGAAATATAATTTTCCTTCTTTAATTAAACATCACAAATATCAGTGTGTACACACCGAGCTGAAACTGATGCAGTTTAATACAACAGCTTTGCAGTAAATCCTCCATTCATGAAGTTTATAAGTTTGAAAGGTGATGATTTAACTTTTTTATTCTGGAAGGTGCAGTTTTTATTGCTTAAACCTGGTCTCCTGCTTCCTCACTGTACTGTATATGAAAGCAGTGTACCATGTCACTACTGTACAGTGTAGTAACTTCACCTACAATCACACCTGAGCTCTGTTTTAATCCAGTTTAATCTTGTATGTATGTTTTAGTATCCTTGCAATGATTAGTGATTTCATTAGCTTGTACAATGCAAAGGTACGGCACTATAAACATCACCCTAGAGACGATGATAAATGTTAATGTCAGACATTGTTAGACTAACACAGCACTCACATATTTGATAACTGGCCACGCTGTTTCGCATATGTTAAAGTGAGACAAAGTTTGCATCAGGACTGAAACGATTTGTCGATTATCTGATAAGTTAATCAACAGAAAAATATGATGATAATCGATTATCATGTCACACATTTTTCTAGCCGAACCAGTGAATAAAAAAATGATTATTCTATGGTTTCAGCTTCCCTTTCAGTCATACATTTTTATACTTTTGTTGAAATTATCATTACATCCTGACCGCAATCAAATAATCAAATGTTCTGACAAAAGAAAAAGATCTGCTATCTGTTGCAGGACTGTAATAAGCCCGTCCAATCAGTTCATTCGGCCACAATGTATTGATTGGACGGGCTACCTGCCTGTCTACCTGCTTGCACATATTCTGCCCGTGCACTCATTGCTCCTCATCTGAGTTTTCCACGGGCGCCTATAGGTTGACAGCTGTGAGTACTCACAACAGCCATGTTTGTAGTTTACATTCATTATGATAATTTTGGGGGAGTGGCTTTGGAGGGAGGCCTGAAGGGACGGCTGTCAGTGTTGTCAACTCGGCATCTTTCTCGCTAGATTTAGCAACATTTAGAGCTAGTGCTGCTAGCTACTTATAATCATAGACTGTATATAAGCAGTAGACGTAGTCATTGTGACGTCACCCATTGGTTTGTGGACTGCCGTTTTGAAGCCTCAAGTTCAGCGATTTGGCCGTCGCCATATTGGATTAAAGCCGTCGACATCTTGGGTTTTTGCAACCAATGAACAGAAGTTAACATATTTGAAATGCGGAGGAGTGACGAAGAGACACTGTATACGGCTGTGGTAATGGCAGCAACCTGTCAATCACAGTTAGCCCACCCCAAAGCATACTCCGCTTTATTGTATATTTTACTCTAAATGGGACAATAATTTACTAAATAAACATCATACTTTCTTGAAGAGTTGAAACTAGCGATAGACACCATAAACTCATGTTTACCATGTTATCTGAGGTAATAAATCAAGTGAGAAGTAGGGTCATTTTCTCATTGACTTCCACACAATCAGACTTTTTGCAACCGGAGAAGATGCCCCCTGCTGGCCAGTAGGGAATACACGTTTTTAAGACACTTCCACATTGGCTTTACTTGTCAGAACCGGAGTTCTCCGCCTGCTTTCAATAAAAAAAGAGTTGGCAACACTGAACTCAGTTTTTCGGTTTGATCTTTTTTTTTTTTATCCAGGGTTCTCTTGCTAGATTGTCAAGAAAAAAAATGGAAGGAAAGTTGTTCTGAAAAAAATAATTGCTTCCAATACTTGAATTAACCTAAAGGCACCATGGATAAACACTCCTCCAATGCCGGACACATACTAACCCCTTGTTGTTATTTGTGTAATGTTCCTTTATTGAACAAATAACGACCTTTAACCCTGTGAAGGCATTAAAGCTGTGTCTGCGTGTGTGCCTCTGGTGTTTGCCTTGGGAGGTTTAGCTGCTCTTCCTTGTGCCCCAACAGTATCGTGCTCTCTTCAGCTGCACACGGCTGAAAGTGGGTCTTTGACTTGCCTGATAGCTTTTGACAGCTCACTCTCATCCCCGGTGGATCAATGGAGCTCAGCGCTCTTCATTAGAAACATCAATGTACCGCACATTCCCACAGGCTCAGCAACAACCCACCAGCCCAGTCAGAGAGTGAAGCTTTATTTTGTTATTCTCCAAAAGATCCTTCCTGACTTCTGTGTGACATTTTATGCTCTTTAATTGAAGAATATTGTGGGAAAATGGTGAAAGAGGAATAGTTTGTTTTGCCATTAATTGATGCTTTTATCGATGACTATTAGCAACAACGTGCACCATGTTGGCCAGACATCACCTTAACTGTGAATAAAACATTATTGTTTATTCCGGTTTGTATCACATAGAATAACAAATATGGGTAACACTTGTTATTCCCTTTGACTGCCGCAGACAGAAATGAATACGCTGTAAAATCCATATCATGGCAACTTTGGTCTTATATTCAGTCATGAAATAGTCTTACTTATTTTGAGTAGGGTATGAGATAATGAATCATTCCAATGTAAAATAAATGCTTGATAATCACTGAATCTTTTAATTCATGTTTCAAGAATTCACCGGCTCCAACTTCTGAAATAAGCAAGATTTGCTGCTTTTCTGTGTTTTTATAGAATTGCAAATGGAAAATCTTTAGGTTTAATACTGTTATTTGGATAAAATAAGCAACTTGGGCTGTGTGAAATCATTATGATGATTTTTTGGTCGAAACAATTAATCAGTTATTTCAAAAAGTAATTTACAGATGAATTGATGAAACAAAACAATTGTTGCAGCCTCAGTTACTGTGTTGTAATATTAATACATTCATGAAGATCGTCTTGGAAAGCAGTTTGTAGATTTATACCTTAATACTTTATCAAAATGAGGTGACATATTTTATGCTGTATTTCCACATACAAAAGAAAAGCTGCTTATTAAAATAAGAAGCATTTTTTCATATGCTTATTTCTGAAATAAGCATATTATTATTTAACTAAAAGTAGCATATTGTTCACCTTCCATTTTTTCTATAAAACGTATAAGCTAATTAAAAATGTGATGCTTGAATTAATTATTTCGGAGTTTAAAATGCCCCCTGAGCAATCCTGCACTATGATGCCGAAGAAGCAAACGCTGGTCTGTTTGGTTGCTGTTTGTATTCAAATGGAGAGGAATGAGATCTTGAATATTATACCAGTGAACTCTCTGAAGAAGTTTGCTACGTGTCGATGCAGGCCGCAGGGTTCATCATAAACACAAGTGTTGCATCAGCAAACACTTGAAATGATGGCATCACACATATGAGATGTTGTTATGTGCAACAAGAAACAAATAACACACAGGCTGGAGACACTGGAGATGGGAGTTGGTCACAGAGGTTGTTGTCATGATGATAGTAGAGAGCATGAGCCAATGACTGCTTTACTGTCATCATCTGCTTTTTGATTGGCTCTCTGACAATCTACACAGCTAATGACTGAAGGAATCCAGCCCACCTGTTTAGTCACACACACACACACACACACTCTCACACACACACACACACAGAAATGCATTCATACACACGCTCACACAGGCAGCTATAGCTGTCACACTGGGAAAAGCAGTGTGTATTTCAGTGTCTCTCTCTCGTCTAATCATCAATAATGCATGGCCTTGGGAGGATGAAAGGCTGTTTTGGCTTGAGGCATGTGTCTCATATGGAGAGAGAGAGACATCAGCACGAGTAGTTATAACTGTACATCCATAGACAAAGTCAATGGCTTCATGGCTGTCTTCAGCAGAACTGGTTCAAGCTGAGAGTGGACTGATGTCAGGCTAAATGTTTCAATTAGTTCTAATTAATTTATATTAAGGAACATTTATTTTTTCATTTCTTTATTATAGTTTCTGTCTGAATTGAGGATCTAAGGATCAGAGTGTGTTGTGTGATGTACATACTCTAAAGCCTTCTGAGACAAAGAGGTTAGTTGGGGCCGTTAAGAAGAATTTGACTCTTTTTTTGTGCAAAAGTATTCTCACAGTTTTCATTTTGTGATCATTTAATCTGTTTCAGGTGTGGTTTAGTCTCATAGCTCATGGTGAGAGTTTTCATTGATTTCCCAAAAATATCAAGGCACTTCTGTGCTTAACCCAAGATATACTGCTGTGCTACCACTGGTTTTACCCATAGCGATGTGGATACATGATGCAAGGCTTCACCTCACACAGCCTTACCTGGGGCCTTTAATTGGGGCTCAACACAGACAAACCATTGGGTGCTTGTTTGCATCTGAAACAATAGTGGCCATGCACAGGCAGCATGGCTCATCATGTCACTGTAAAGAGCAGCTGTTTGGCTGACACAGATATTAAATCAGCAGTATGTTAGCTTTAAGCGTTGCACTTATTTTTGTGGTGATTATAGTTACTGAACAGTGTGTATCACGTGGAGCAACTTCTCTTCTCTTCTCTCTCATTTTCCTGCGAACCCTTTGGTTATAGACAGTCATATGTAAATACAGTACAGTCTACGTGTGTGTGCGTGTGTTTGCAATGTGTATACGGATGTGGGAGGGCACGCAACAGCCCTTTGAAGTTCCTCATTCACTCTATACTCCTCTTCCCCATGTCTCATCTCTCTTTGAAGACTATGTAGCCGTGATTATTAAAGCTGCCCTCTTTCCACTTCAAACGTATGGACTGAATATGGATATGATGTGACACCAAACCTTCCACGTCCGACACCCTCCCCTCCTCTCCCGCCCTGCTGTGTGGTGAAGTTTGATCGGCCCTGCCATCTTAAACCATCTATGTTGGCGTGAAACTTGTCATTCAGTGACTTGGGGCATGAGCTATTTGGAGTAGTTATGACATTGCTTGATATGGAGCCCCAGGGGAACGTCGCAACTTCTTTCTCATTGTATTAATAAAGCTTGTGGTCAGCTGCTCTCTGTCCTTTGTCAGCTTTGTAAATGTTTTTAAAACATCACCTGCTCGTTTCATCCACCGACCATATCATTTATTACGTGGCAATTTGCATTTTCTCTCTCTCTCTCTCTCTCTCTCTCTCTCTCTCTCTCTCTCTCTCTCACACACAATGTACTCCAGCCTTGGGGTATTTTACACAATGTCATGATAATGTTATCTTAAGGAGGTTTTGCATGCATGCCTAAGCCCATAAACTACATGTTGATAACATTAATGCTTTTTACAAAGCACACCATGTGTTTTTATACCTCCCTCAAATATCAGGCTGCCCTTAAAGTTGCTCCTAACTGTTGCACAGCGTGATGAGAATCCTGTGTATTTCTGTTGTTGTTGTGTGTGCTGTGTATGATAAGGTGGTTGTATGTGTCTATGAGTTTGACACCACAAGGCTGTTTTCACATTCAGACAGTTTCTCTCATGTGCACACAGATCAGCAGGATTTAGGTTTGTGTGATGTGGAAACTTGAGACCCAACATAAACATTGGAAATTGACCGTAAGGTAAAGTAGGGGACGTCTTCTTGAGTTCAACTTTTGAAATGAACATTTGCATATTCATAGATTCTCAATCAGATTTTTTTTTTTAATGATTGAGAAGGAAAACATGCAATTTTAAGATCTTTTAGGGAATCAAACTCTTTCTGTGTTAAAACCAAATAATTGTTCAAAACCACAATTTTTTTTCATATAAAAAAACATGTCTGGAAGGTGTCTTTAAACAAATTTTCCAACTAAATGTTCACTCTGTGATGGATTATCAATCTCCAGCAAGCTTCAAGTGGGTTTTCTTACCATTGTGGAAAGAGTTGAAAGCCATGACTGCCTGGAAGGAGGGAAGTAAATCTAAAAATGTATGGATGCTTTGGAAAATGGTTGACTAAAACATGCAAACCCACCAGGAGGGCCAGTAATCCAATCCTCCCTAAAGTATTTAATCTAGTGGCCTGTCAGGATGGCTGGTCTGACTGAAAATATAAAATGTTGGTGGTATAGCATCACATCCGTTGTACTGATGATTCTAAGTATGTGAAACATTTTCTATATAAACAAAACCTGAGATGACTCGGGTGAACATATTGTCCATTTGGTGGATGTGCTATAACTGTGTGGTGGATCCCTGATGGCCAGTGGCACTGCCAGCTCTGTGTAGGGGTCGATAGCCCAATCAATAAACTTTGCTCCTGGTTGCTTTTGTTTGGTCAGCACACAAGACCTCTCTCGCTCTGTTTCTCACTCTTGCTATGTTCTTCTTTCTCAAGTACAAACGTGGTTTATTTGCATGAATGAGTATATCAGCCAGCTGACGCTCTCTCTCTCGCTGTCACTTCCTCTGTTTTTAATCTCTCGGGCAAAATGCTGGCTAAATGGGGGAAGGTAGGTTAGCATGGGTTCAATGAGTAGAGGCAGGATAATTTCGCTGCATTGGATTAACTGTGTGTGTGTGTGTGTGTGTGTGTGTGCGTGTGCGCGTGTGCGTGCGTGCGTGCGACAGAAAGAGAGATTGAGTGATTTTCTGCAGGAGGGAGCTGCTAGCTTCTGTCCATTTTAGTGGTTTTCTGCCCCACCTATTCCATAACCCCTCTGTGTTTGCACTGTAAACTGTGCCAGGCCAGGCAGCAATGACGCTTCATATTGTGCTGGAGGGTAGCCGATTAAATACATTTCAACACTTTTCTAATGGTTTTGTATTTGTTTTTAAGGTTTACCGATGGGGTTGCATGCATGGATTTGACTGCGGACTGAGCTGGTGATCTCGTTGACTAGAAACTCTCTCACTTCAGGACCATGGTAAGTCGCTCTTTCGCTCTCTCTGTCTCGCATGAATGCACAAATTGTATACTCTCCATTTCTTCAGCTCAGTCTGACTTGCATGCACACACAGCCTGAGTTAGAGTGAAAGAACTCAAGCAAATCCAGACAGAGAAATAACATGAAGCTCTCTCTAAGTGTCTTTTTTGCTCTCATTTCTTTCCATTCCTATGTTTCTGCCCTCCATGTTTTCTCCTACATCTCTCCATTTGTGTTGTTGACACAACAACATAAGTCCTGTGCCCCGTGGCAAAAACAATCATTGCCTCTCAACAGGCGTGGCGGTGTGCCCGTGTCTGTCTCAACACCATATGGGCCTCTCTGTATGTTTGGGTGTGTGACGCCAATGCCCTGTCTACTGCCATCTGACCTGCAAATGGAAACACAGAGTCTGGCCTCATTTTTCCTTTGCAGATCCTAATTTGTCATCATCACAGTTTATTCTTTCGTTTTCTTCTCAGTTTTACTGTAGATGGAATCGGCTTTTGCTTTTTGTGGCAAAATAATGACAGCATTATTTTTATTTGTCCTCAGTCAGATAGCCAATTTGGTTGTGAATCCGACACAAAAACTATAATTAAATCATAGAGTGAGGAAGGGTTACACAATTCCTGACTTATCCTGTCACCCTTTAGCAAGCAGTCTGAGCCGTTGCCCTTTGGGAGCATTTTTGAAGTGCCTAAACTCTTGAATAATACAACAAGGGACTTTAACCCTGCTGTAACAGCCTAATTTGCACACGACACAATAAAGCCTCCTGTGTACGTGTTGAACATTTGTACACGTGCTTATGAATTGAGGATACCCAGCAACCGTGTCTAACTTCAGCCCTGACTCAACAAATAGATAAAGTGAGATAAAACCCGACATTAGCTGGGTGTCATTGGGTGACTGTGTTTTGAGCAGTGAAGAGAGACAGGAAAAGACAACCAGGTGTGCAGCAAGAGCTCTTCCTGTCTGAACGAGGAAAAGAACTCATGATAAATATCGTAGGCAGGTTGTATTAATCTGCCTTTCTTTAAACCCAGGGTGTGATTTAATTCTTCCCCGCCCATCTAAATAGTACATTATACATTACTGAAGTGATGCAGCAGGATTGTTAAGCCAAAAACATCTACTCTCTGCTTCAAGGCTCAGCTTGGTAGTGATTAATGCCACTCAAAAAGCTGCACAGTAGTCAGATCGGGCAACAGAGAACCTCAGCATCACTCACTGTATTTAACCACAGCAGACTCTATTGGCTACAGGCTGCCACTAAACTGCCTGAGATGTTTCACGTCAGAAGAACAAATGGCTAGATGGAGAGGATATGACCCAAGCTGTGGTTGAACCTGCGTCTGTTTAGTTTCCTGTTTGCTTGCTCGCCGTGTACCTCTGACTTATGCCTCTGTCCCTCCTGGAGTTCTTAGAAGAGCGCTTTTGAGCACCAACAGCTCATCAATAGATAAATCTTTGAGCACTTCATTGTAATTTTTCCTAGAACAATGTCTCAGTGGCATTTATTTTAAATTAGATCAGATTACACTTTAAAATGTGTCTTGCATCACAAGCATTCTCTATTTCACATGAACAGGAAAAATACACATGAATAAATTAAGTACGCGCACAGTATTGCAAACATAGACAGCTGCAGTGTATTCAGTTTCTTTCCCTAAAGGAATACTTTACCCACAAAATGAAAAGTTGTACATCAATTACTCACCCCACGTTACCTTGAATTCTTGAAGAAAACTTAGTTTGAACGAAGAATCAAACAACATTTACTTCACGATATGAAGACATTTCTCTGTTTGCTGATTCTCTGACGATCACTGTGGAGGCGAGAAGAACAAAAGTTTTCTTCAAGAATTCACGGTAACGCAGGGTGAGTGATTGATATACAAAAGGTCATTTTGTGGGTGAAGTATTCCTTTAGCACTGCAAGTGAAGACAGTGATGGAAGCATTTACAAAAAAATGAAGAGGAGGCTTCCTGCACACCAGAAGACTCTTAGACATGTATTTTAATAAATGACTAGAAGCAAATACAGTTCTGAACAGAGAACTTCTGATTCTCTCATTGATTATGCGGAATGTTTTTGATATGCTATATTTAATATATGCTTGTTTGAAAGTGATCTTGATGTTTTTAGTTCCTTTTTCCTGGATGCATGTTCTGTCTCACACTATCAGACAGCATCATTCATCATTAGGCCAACTTGAGAGTAGATTGACCATCAATCATGCAGTGTTGAATATGTTTGTGTCTATATATTGCTTCTTCTGCTTTGTGATGCTGATTTGTTCTTTTGTTTGTTTCTTGAGTTCGTTTATTTTTTTCGATTCAGCACATGTATGGGATGCAGCTATACCTCACAATCTATGCCAGTTGTATCCACTCGTGTAATGTGAGCGTAGAGACCTCAGCAGATGTCAGTATAGTCGTCTGTATTTACGTATACTTAACGTGGAATGGTATTTATTCTGATGCATTACATTTTTTTAGAGAGCCTTGGAAATGCTCTACTGTGCCAGTGTTTGCTAGCTGGCCAAACAGGCCTGCAGTGCTTTGGCCCGTATGCTGGTTCTGAGGGATTTGACTGTAATTCTCTGTAGCCGTGGGGTTCACAGATTCATTCCTGTGCTTTAATAACAGTGGGATTATCAAGGTTCAGCCAGCTAACCCTGCCCTCTCTGCCTTCACATGGCTCACAGCTCCATCCAGCTTCATCCATTCCTCCATGTCTCAATTTCTCTATTTCCTTTTATTTTAGTCCTGCGTATCTGCTCTATTTGCACTCTTTTTGTTATATCCGTGGCGTTCAGACTTTTTTTCTTTTGTTTGTCTTGTCCAGCTACAGTTTATAATCCCCCTCAATCCCTCAGGAATAAAGAGGCATGTCTCTATTAATTTTCTGGGATCTTTCTAGTTTGCTGCCTCTCCTCTTCTCACCCAGACTGAGATGGGTTGGGCCTGACTGTGACTGAAGCACTGTTGCTAGGTGCCTAGGGATGCTCCCGTGTCTGCATTATGTGTGTGTGTGTGTGTGTATGTTTGTGTGCGTGTGTGTCTGTATTTTGCAAGTGTGTGTGGGTGGGTTTGTGCATGTACTGTGTGACGCTGTATTGCTATGTGTCTGGCAGAAAGTTAGATGTTCTGTTATGTAAGTGGGTCTTGGCTGGGTAGAGCAAGGGTTTAGCTTGGGGATGCTGGCTCAGGTGGAGAGACGGAGACTGATGCTATTTTGGGTATACTGCTCTCCTAACGCATCCTCCAAACGCATGAGTTATTCACTCGCACGTGCTGGTTAGTCCTACCGGGATGAAAGGACAATAGAAATTTGTGTAAATATCTGCAGTGACATTTTGTCCTCAGGTCTGTCAAGTACATATTTAATTTGTTTACACATATTGGCAATAGCATCAGTTGATTAGTCACTTAATCGATTAGGCGATCTGCAGAAAATCAATAGCCAATTTCAACTGTATATCAAGAAAAATGACCAGATTCACTTATTCCAGTATCTTAAATTTGAGGATTTTCCGATTTACTCTGTGTTATATTCATGTAACGGAAATGTCTTTTTGATTTTTTGTTTTAATTCATAGACTAAATAATGGATCAATTGAATAAAAAAAATGATTGTGACATTAATCAATAATGCAAATAATTGTAGCAGCTCCACTTCCATTATATATATATATATATATATATATATATATATATATATATATATATATATATAACCTGGTACAAACTAAGCTAACACCTTGTACAAAGATGGGTCAGTCATTTCATAGTTATAACGCAGTAGTTACAGCTTTCCACAAACATGGTTGATTCATTGTGCTGCAACTAAAGATTGTTTCATGATTGATTAATCTGAAAACAATCTTCTCAATTAATTGATCAGAACAAATGTTCAACATTTGTTGAAATACGCTTCTTCGCTTTCTGGCAGAATGTTCCCGTACGATGAGAAGATCAAACCACTCTCACATCTGTCCGTTAGGCTTAGCTCAACACAAAGACTATTTTTCTGAGCATTGCTAGGAAACCAGCAGAGACTCCAGGAAGTTTTACTTGTTTTTTTTGTACAGATTAAACAAAGAAGACCTGACGTATTAATTATTGAGCATTTGAGTGGCTGTTAGGTGGATGTTGTTACCTGTGAAGTTTAAACAGAGCCAGGTTTGCTGTTTGCCCCTGTTTCCAGTCTTTGCGCTAAGCTAAGCTAACCGGCTTATGGCTGTAGCTTCGTATTTAACGGACAGACATGAGAGTGGTATCGATTGTCCCATCTAACTCATCACCAGAAAGCGAGCAAACCTTTAATCGTTTAGTTTATAATGCCAGAAAATAGTGAAAACTGCCTGTCGCCATTTCTAGAAGCCCAAGATGATGTCTTCAAATGTCTTGTTTTGATTAACAAGCCAAAATCATCCAAATATATTCAGTTTACAATGTTATGAAACAGATAAAATCCTCAGTTTTAAGAAGCTGAAAGCAATGAATGGTTATTTTTATAGACACGAGACTTTTTATTAAGATGCAGAATAGTTTTCTAATGTAACTTGTCATACATGTTGGTGTTTTTCCCCAGATTAACCCAGACTTATATTTTTAGCACTAAATGGATTCATGTTCTCTCCCTTTGAACCTGCACACAGCCAGGTTACATTTTTTAATTGTTCTCTGATTGTTCTCTCTCTCTCTCTCTCTCTCTCTCTCTCTCTCTCTCTCTCTCTCT